ATGAGGGGGCAGTGTGTGTGAAATATTTGTGAGTGCATATTATGCATGGTTGGTGTGCGGTATATCGTATCCACGTTTCTTGGCTACCTTGTTCTGTTGCTGGCCGTCTTCCGTTTGTCCATTTTCCTTCGGCCTGTCCTCGATAGCCTTAGGCGCGTGCCCGCTCAATTTGTATTGCTGGAGCTGCGGTTGAATTCATTTAAACGATCAATATCACTGGTATTATTCAATCGCTGTGACATAGTTGAAACTTCTTTGGACTACTTGATCAACAACGGTAATAATACTTAGGGAAAGCGGTACCTCATCTTTGGTAATGGCTAGTTCTTCCTCTAGACTCTTGTTCCTCTCTTGTGCCACGCGCAGACGATCTCGTACCTGAAAATCGGTTGACAGTTACTAATTCATATTTTACTATAAATCTCGAAGACTTAATTACGAGAATTTCAAGATACGATTAGAATCCTCCATACACCTGAGGATCTGCTATACACTTCTATAAAGAGTGATACTTCTTTTCGCGTAGGAACAAAATTCGCTGTTCGAAATTCAAAGTTTCTATAGTTCGTTCTCATCTGAGCTTCATCTGTCTACCCCTGCAAACATTAGTGGTAATCTACTTGAATCGATCGGTTCAGGATTGAATCGGAATAGTTTTCCATCCTCCCCGAAGGTTGCTGCAGAGTCAATGTCGCCAAACAATAGATCAGAAGTTCTTACTTTCTCATCCAAAGCCTTGTGGTGCTCGAACAGACTTTTCAGAGCTTTAAGCACTTCGGCTTCGGACGATACTCCAGATTGAGCGACCGCCTGCCTCTTCACCACAGTCATCCTGAGAGATCGTTCGTGTCGCGAGACCAGACATTCCAAATGTTCCAGTAGGAGCTACAGAAAGCAACAGACAATCGTGACAATGAGCAATATCGTGGGAACAAGTACCGTATTCAAACACTAAAAAGTATTAGACCACGTTCTACGTACGCGAGTATTATTCCGCTCCGCTTTCAGCTCCGATATCTCCTCGTCTCTTGCCAGGATGCCCTCGCGGGCTGCTGCGAGTTCCTTTGTTAACTGGGAGAACTCCTAAAATCAGAAACGGGGAATCGTTTACTACGCGTCTCACGGGAATACGTTGCAGAATCGCATTAAAACTTTCATCAATTTTCTTCACATTTACAGATAACAAGCTCTCTTCGCAAACGTTACAGAATTCTCTAACATTCAACGAGTGCCGAGTCATCAGCGTCGTTCACGATCTTAACCGGACAGCTCGAGGCATCGGGACCATTCTTTCAAAAGATGTAATTCATTCGACGTTGTAGAGAAACGCAAAGAATTAAAAAGGAACGCATTAAGGACGGTTTGAAATCATTGCACAGAAATAGCTCATATAAGACGCGCTCTTTCATAGAGTCAATCGTCAGAGAGTTCCGCCACAAAGTTCGCGGAAATCACCGACGGGAAGCTGCACTTTCATCTTCGCGCGCGTCACTTTCGCTCGGCGTTCTAGCTGAATGTTGCACATTTATTTATAAATACCGCTGATCGATACCGAGTTTCGCTGTTGGAAAACAATGCCACCCACCACCCACTTTTCCGCTGAAAAAGAAAACAATCCCTTCCGAACTCGGACAGAAACTACGCCGACCAACACGTTCGCCACCGGCATTTCTTTCAATAACACTCTCCGCGGTTGCAATATTTGATTAAATAAGACATATCGTCTTCGCAAAATGCAAATAATAATCAAGAAACAAAATCTCCGCGACTTCCTCCGCATTATACCACGCGTTACAATATTACATGAAAACACGTAAGTGTAATTTACTCCTGGGAGAAAATATGAAACATTGTTGAAATATGCAACATCCCTAACGAACGTGTTAAACTTCAATATAAAATCGAAGCAAACCGTCGAATCCCAAAAGTCATAATTCTAATCCAAACAAGAATCCGCGACGTTAGTTGAAAAACTCGAGAACGTTCAGACCCGAAGAGTCCCATTCGAGTTCATTCGAAATTCCAATTTTCAATTTTAAGGGTTCCAAACCTCGTAAGTTCGGTCCTCGAAGAACGGGCGTCGAGTTTAAAGGACAGCAGCCCTCCCAATTAAGGAACCGAGCGACTTTATTCCGTAATACAAACTTCGGTAATCTCGACTAGTCCGCCGGAGAGAGCTGGGTAGGAAGAGAGTGACGGAGGGAGAGCGAGAAAGAGAATTCTATCCTGTTTTCCCCTTTATCCCGAGCACTTGGGAAGCTCCAATTTCCGCGGGACTCGGAACGGAAAGCTGGAAACACCTTGAACGGGTTAAAAATTGACCGATTAACGTCCATTACAGAGGAAACGTTTCCGTTTACATCGAAACGGCTGGGGTGGAGGCCTTTAAGCCGGCGGATATCGTCCTCGAACGGAGAGGAATATCGATGCTTCTCGCAAAGAACTCATTATCCCGGAAGAGGCTGATTAATTACAGACGGCAGGGGAATCCTATTAGCCCATCGACAGTCGCTGCGAGCGAAATTGTCGGGAAATAGGGCGCGGAGTTTGGCTACACGAAGAAGGAGGATCCTGATTTAAATAACAAGTTTCAGAATCTGAATGATTTCAGCCGACTCCTCGGGACCACCTTCCGAACGTTGTTCGCGATCGGAGATTGCGTATTGCAAGAGCTAATGAACGGTTCATCGTTCGTGGCACGAATATAATAATCTTCGAGCTAATAATCTCGCTCGATACCGAACGCGCGATCAATCCCGCAACGGAGATTAATCCGTGTGTGACTTGCAACGATGCCCGCTTAAATTTCACAAAATTCAGGACCCGGTAGTGAGATTCTCGCGTGTAGAGTGGAGTTTGATTCGTGCACGGTTTGACGAAATGAAAGAATAGAAAGAGAGAAGAAAATAAACATACGAGAGCGGAAATATCATTTTCAGTTATTTTCATACGAGTGACACCAATGGATTGCTAAGATTCTCCTGATTAAAATGAGTCCAAACACGACACAAATTGGTCTAGTTTCATCGACTTGAAATATTTACATATTTAATTTTATTACTTGTATTAAAATTAGTCCGATTTGCGTCTTGTTTGGGCTCGTTTTAATCGATCTCAACTATCCGTTGGTGGTAAAATGGTAAAAATAGGGCTAGAGTTATAGAAAATGAAATTTTCCGTTAGATGTTTACTTCTATAGTCGCAGCATTCTATTTTGAGATTGTTTCCTTTCTTTTCCTTGTGTTGATTCTTTATTCCTGTCTGCTGAGATGACTTTGTCGAACTCGAGGGACTGATTGGTCAGAGTGGTGATGAGTCTTGGAAATTTAAACATACGGATTCTAGTGAAATTTAAGTGAAGATTGCTGTGTTTAAGTACCTGGCCTTTTCACGAAACGAACACGATCGTAACAATTTCCCGGCGAACACTGCCGTGGGAACCTTCGACGAGCCGGCGTGATGGTTAACATTTGATCCGCCGGCGAACGAATTAATGATTTGTTATTGTACACCGGGCGAACGTTTAACCGCGGCTATTCAGCTCGTTCATCGCCGCGATTAGTAACAAGAAACTAATCCCCCTCGAGCGGGAACATAATCTAGTTACGGGTGCGTTTCCACGAATAAAGAGGAGCAACAAAAGCCGCGTCGCGAGCACGGCATTGTTCGATTCCGAGGAAATTAACGACGTCTACCGTCTTCGCTTCGTCTGATCGCGGGCGACCGATTCGTTCGTAGCTTTCCGCGAGGAAGTTGAAGCTCGTCAACTGCGCCCAATAGGAAAACCGCTCCCGAATCGATAAGTTCCTCGTAAGTTTTCTTACAGCGGGTTACTGATTTGAGTATAGTTTCTAATATTGTGTAACATGACGAAATTTCTGCAACAAAACGCCTGATCATCTGAATATTCTACAACTAGTGCATAGAAATTGATCATCCCAGTAACAATAACAATACATTGATAGATGCAATTAAGAACAAACCATTGTTATACGTTCATCGTACTTTCGAATCGAAAGATTTCTCTTTGATCTAACAAAGGAACCTTTTCAACCAACACGCGCCGATTTTAATGAAACTTATGTGAGACAGTTGTCAAGAAAATATTTGACACGTATTTGTCCTTATCGGCCAACATCTACTTTGAACGAATGAAAACACCCCTTAAAGTTGACGGTTGAAAATATATATTTTACAATATCTCTGAAACTACGGGATAGAGAAAAGAAATTATTTCTTTAAATTGTCCGCCTCGAAATGAACGATTTAGATTTCTTTTCTACACACCCTAGTTTCACAGATATCAAAAATATATTTTCAACTCTGAACTTTAAGGGGTGTTCTCACTCGTGTGGAAACTACGTGTTAAATATTTTCTTCGTAACCACGTCTCACAGAAGTTTCATTAAAATCGGCGTGTGCCGGTTGAAAAGGTTCCCTTGTAAGATTTTATGACACACAAGGTAAGAAATTTGTATAAACATTCACGATTCAGTGTCGAATAAGACGGAAACAGCGCAGGCGTGAAACGTTCATTCTGTGTCCGTTAAATGGACACGATGCGAGCGTTTGCAGCGTGAGATCGGAAGGATTCCAGATAACGATGTCGCGTCGTTAATTGCTGTCCCGCGCGGAATACGTGTCCGGCCGTGGAAACGATGTTTCCCACCGCGGGCACGCGGAAAAAATTCCTTTTAATTGCCGGCGCGGCTTCTTTCGGCTACTTGTTGCGCGCCCAAGGAAATCGCCGAATAAATAACGGCGGACAGGTGTCTTTCGCGATGATCCGGGACAGTCTCTGTTTAACCAGTTACCTGTTTTCTACGAGTACACTCGCCATGAACAGATGGCAAAGTTTCGTTTATGACGAGTATACTCGTCCGGAAACAGGTAACTGGTTAAGGGAATATTCACTTTTGGAACAATTCGATATATATTGCTCAAATGAAGAGTTTTGTATAAATTATTTGTAAATAGTAAATTATTTTTCAACGAAGTCTCAACTGTTAACTGGTTAATGACTTGATTCGAAACGATCGGCCTTGCCAATAAACGAGCGTCAATCGATTGTGCCGAAGAGGACAGGTGTTCGACGCGCGAACGATTTCACGGATAAAGAAAGCTATATTCACCGCGCGCATGATAAAACAAATTGATTCGGGAGGAGCGTCGCGCTGATACATATTAATCGATCGGCACCGATTAACGGGGGCGCTAAATATTTATTCCGCTGTAACGATATTACAGTCGTCGCGTGGGAAATATCAATCGATGCGAATACGTTTAATTAAACTTTCGCAAACGAACATTATTAATGCTCGGTTGCAGTGTGACAAGCGGAAATTATTGCTCGTTCCTTCGAACCGGATCATTTAAGCTCGGTCGCCGCGCGGTTTTTTTGGATTTCAATGGAAACGAAGAAAAAAGCAGTTTCATTCGAGAATCTGCAGATCGGCGTTTCGTATAGGAATCAAGGAAACCGAGTACAATTTCTTTCGTCGGGAAGTGCGTATCGATTTCGCGGCGGAGTCACGATGTCATCGAAACAGCATCGGGACAAGCGATAATTTCCACGCGATATCGATCGGCGCGCGATGCGTACGTAAGATGGGATTTAAACTCGCGTGCGGACATGCAGTTTGCGCCTACGGTGCAACGGACTGTGAGAGTTATGCAGCTGCAGTTCGTTAGAAGTGCACGACCCCTGGCCGGCGTGGATTGAGATATTGAAATTCGCGTTCTCGCCAGGGGAAACGGACGAGCGAGCCACCGTTTCCTGAAAACAAATTGCCCTTACAGTCCGGAAAATTTGTGGAGATTTAATCTCCGACAGATTTCTTTCAGCGTTTCTTCCTAATTACGGAACCCAATTAAATTGAATCGTATCCTACACACGCTACATTCGATTCCACTCCACCGTAGAATCCGAATTATCTCGAGAACGATTTTTGCACGGAAAACAATTTAGTTCCTCGTTCCCAGCATCTATACGAAACCGAACGAGATACAATAAGTTCGGTAATTAACCACTTAACTGTGCTACTTTTGAATTGCTTTTGAATCCCGTAGCATCGCGGAGTTTT